TCTCTTATTTTCTCTCTTAAATTCAACTGAAAAAAATAACTTATTAATTTTATTTTTGAAAGTGATAAGTTGAGAGAAAATATTCATAATTATCCTATAATAACTCATAATTTAAGTTTCAATATTTTCTAATAAAAATTCATACATATGTAATTTTTAGGAAAGATAAATATGAAATATGGCCTGATTTTTCAAAAAAATCTACAAGTTTGATATTTTTGAAATTGTATTCTTAATATGTGGTAATTATGAATTTTCCCAATATGGATTTCTTTAAACAAAAATTATTGATTTGGGTATTTATAATTTTGGTAATTATATTTTTGTTGGAAATTTGGAATACGTGCATGAAGTTCTTAAAAATTTAAATTATGGGTTGTTTTATTTCTTTATTGGTTTAGAATAATTAAAATGATATTAAAAATAGAAAAAAAGGTCTTATTATGCCTAGGCACTATAGACTTGGGGCTTGATTTGCACTCTTTACACTTTTTAGAACAATGCTTGACAATAATTTCTAGATGTTAAATTATTATGAATTATTTTTTTGGTGCAAATTCTACATATCAACCCCTAATTAACGTGTACATACTTGATGTACTTAATCAATTTGTACAAAAGTTATAACTCATGGGAAGGTGCAATCCGCTATATCACTATAATCAAGACCGAAAATTCATGCCTACTTGTTTGGACCTTACTTCGAAGAACACTTCACAAATATACTATTGAATCATATTTAAATAGCAACTATAAGCTTGCTCGCATGTCAAACGTGCTCTTATAACATGAACTCACTCGATGAAAATGCTCAAAACATCAACGGGACACGTGAGACATTTGAAACGAGCTCTTAAATTTTTTAAATGTGGAAATTACAATAACTAAGTGTTTCGAGATTTCAATTCATAATTAAGAGTTACAATTTTTTTTTTTTCAAAAATCAGATATAATAAAAAATTTAAATATTAGTGGTAATATTATAAGATAAAATTAATTAACATGCTCCCATCCATCCCACCTCGCTTACAAACCCTAAATTTATCTCCATTCCTCCCCTCCTTTCTTCTCTCTATATCTCACACTTTCTATCCCGACTATGTACACTCTTCCTCAATTGTCGCCGTCGGAGACCGTCTCTCTACCACTTTCTATGTGAGTGCGCCTTGACTATAAATCGCACCCTAAGCGACCTAGATCGTGGTTGCATGACGCAGATCGAGACGATGATGATTTTTTTTGGTTATTGGATGAGTGGTAGTGATTTCCATATTTTGGTAGTGTTGGGGTGGAAGTGGCGGTGGCGATGAAGCGTGGTGGTGGCGCTACTGGCGATTGTGGTGAGGTATTGACGGTGATGGTAGCACTAGAGGCAGCGGTTCATGTGGTGGTAGCATTGGCGGGGGCAGAATGATTTTGAGTTGTTTTTTGTTGGTGGTGGTGCTGGTGGATCTGACGATGTTAGTGGTGGACTTTGGCGTTGATGAGGTGGTGTAGTGGTAGATCGGCGGATTCGACACTGTTGGTAGTGGTGAAGTGGTGGTCGCAAATTGTTATGATGCAGGTGGTGTTGGTAGTTGTAATGCTGTGGTGTTGGTGGCGACAAAAGCGATTGAGTCGGATCAAGAGTGTTTGTAACCAATAAATTGTGTAATTTGTGATCGATATATAATATGTTATCTAAAAAATGTGAACGCGTCTCACAATTTATTAAGTTGTGACAAAAAAATAATTTGTGACCAATTAATTTAATAATTTATGATCGTTAAATAAGTTATGATTTATAAAATTTGTGATTTAGACCAATAAATTTTTTGATTTTGTGATTGATGAGTAAACTGTGTGATGTATACAATTTTTTATTTGTGATTGAAAAATAAATTGTGACTCATAAATTTTTTGATTTGTGATTAAAAAATAATTTGTGACCTATAAAATTTTTAAATTGAGATCGAGAAAAAATAATATTAATTCGATAATTTGTGATCAAATTATGTGGAATTGTAACTTTAATATATTTAATTGATAAAATATATATTTAATTAATTATTTTCATAAATAAAATTTAATAATATTTTATTTTTGAAGTTTTAAACATTGTTTCTTGGATTTGAAATATGCTATAGCTTTCGTTTGTTTCTCATTTTTCATTCATAAAAATGAAAAATATGACTTTTATTCATCCAATCAAGCCATCAATTTTGAATTTTCACCTCGGAGCTTAATAACGACTTCATTCTCATTCTACAATAATGAGAATCAAACGGCCATAATTAAACCTTAGATTTGAAATTTTCTCATTTTAAAATGTCTGATTCAAGTATGTTGCGATCTCGAACCGTCACATCTAAAAGTATATGGGTGTGTTTGATGGATATTATTTTGGAAGAATGTATTTTGAAATAGTAGATTGATGGAAAATATATGGTTGAAAAAGAAGGAAAAGTTATTGATATGATGAAAAATATTATTTTAATGAAGAATGTGTGGTTAAAAATGATTAAAAAAATGAGAATAAAAATTTTAATGGGTACCAAACACACCCTATATTTCGAGCCAGCCAGCCTGTAAGACAAGTTGATTTCGGTCAAAGTTTTCAACCTGGTGACTCGTCCTTGGCCTCCCCACATCCATTTTTACACGGAGAATGATAAATGTACCGGGGGGGTTGACACCACTGCTCCACCGTTCCTTCCTTCCCATTTGAACATACAGCCAAATAATGGATTCCGCTTCTCTCCCGCAAACCCATACTAAAGAACAACAGTATCAATTTCAGGCATGCGATTCACAACAAGCCGATGATTCATCCCAGATTCGACCATATACATACGGTGAATCCAGTTATTCTTGTTACCAGAACCCACAATACTCACAACAGCAACACTCCACACCGTACAATTCTGAGCATTCCAGTTCTCACGGACAAAATTACGCGCAACAGCATCAGCAGCAGCCCATTCATCCTCCCGGAGTCGAGGCGCTACCGCGTGAGGGTGCGGCAGTGTCCAGCGGTCCGGAATTTGTAGCCGCTGATTTTTCTGCTTGGGTGCAGAACCAGCAGAATGCATATTACCCTCCAAAACAGATGGATTTACAAGCGGAGTTGAACCCGGCTGCGGCAGCGGCTCTGGCGGCGCTGTGGGGACTCGTTGCAGGCACATCTAGTGGACCCAGCTCAGTAGATTATGCTCTCAGGCCAATGCCTCATCCTGTAAGGTCTTTTGATCGTGTTAGTGGTGCTTTTTAATTTATTGTTTTTATTATATTTTTAATGGTTCATTTAGTGGCATTAAGATTAAGTTAGAATTTTTTTCTGTGCATTTCAAGGTTTTCGTACTGTTGATTTGTTCATTGATGGGCTTTTTGTTGTTAATTTGCAGGATTTATTTGTTTGCATAACGTATATTAGTTTGTTTATTTCTCAGTGATACAAATTGGTAATATTATCTTGGGTTTCAGATTATTTAAATGATCAGTGAGTCATATTTCTTAAGTCTTTAGTTTATTTTATGAGGGTATTTATTGGATTAGTCTACCTTTATTCTTTTCCTTTTTTCCACTTGGGGAGTGTTTATTTTCCCGTGGATGAAAAAATGATTAGTTTAACATATTTTATACATTCTCTGGAGCTGTTATGTGTTGCGGGATCATGACTTCTACTGGTAGCAAGAATTTTTGTAGAAGTTCTGTCGCTATTATGTGTAGTCTTGCACGCGATTAGTGTGAATTTTCCTAGTCTCATTCTTATTTTGTATTCTGAAGTGTCCATTTTTTTCTGCTTTCCCCAAGTTACATAGCATAATTAATAATTTATAACCATATAAAAATGGAAATAATTACCTGTGAGATCTCCTTTTCTTTTTAGCACTTACTTATCTTGCTGCATGTTTATGAACCGTGTCTAGACCTGCATGCATCTGTTATGAAAGTTTTAATCAGTCATATATTTCAGCGAGTTGTTTCACAGTTCCATTTTTACCATTGAACAGATGAATTGCAACTTTACCAACATGAGTTAGTTTGGATGGAGACTGTTTGAATGGTTATCCTTCCAATCCTTCCCAGGTGTTGAGTGATAGGCAAATGCTCATCTAAGTTTTTGTATTCAAAATTGACCTGCCGCCCTTGCAATTTGAGATCATTGCGATGCAAAATTTCTACTTATGAATAATTAGATTGGTTGCAATATTGCTAATTGTATGGCCATGAGTTACAACTGTTCAGTTAAGTTCTTGTGTGTACCCTACATGACTATGAGTGTAGAGCACTCACATGATGTGATATCTTCCACTACTGACATGGCAGAACATTTCTCAATTTCTTATGCTCCCATCATTCAGCCATTTCTTAATGTTATATACCCCATCGACAAGGTTTTGAAAGTGAAACTAATCCTCAAATAGGCTGGTCTCCCGTTCATTGATTGACTAGTCCAATAAGTCCATCTCAAGTGGACAACGTCAGTCATAATTGAATGTTAGCCTTCCAGATTTAACATTAAGATAAATCAGATTTGTAGAGTTGTGATAATGTTGTGTCAGATCTTCAATTCACCAACAAAATACTTTTTACCTTCAACAAATATGAATCAAAGTAGGCATATCAATAAAATAGCACACAACTTATTATAGATCTTAAAGAAAGGTGTCAGCATATTGATTACAACCAAATTCTGGACAAGGAAAAAGAATTGATGCTGCAAAATCACATTCAGGCTATTCACTCACATATGCCAAATATATATGCAGTTTATATGTATGAAGTTCACGTGGCAAAAAATTAGTTTTCTAAGTTTTCTGGGCACACACTAAAATATAATATATACCCTAAGAGATACATGTGAATGTAATACTCTCTATTCAGCATGAAATAAGTAGTTGTCCAGCTCAAATGGGTGACATCAATTTCCAGTAAGTTTTACTCCATAGTCTAAAACAGTAATAAAAAAAGTCTAATTTTCAATAAATTTAGAATCGATTGTATGCGTCATTTTTCTCTTACAGTGGATTCATCCCTACTGTCGTACTTGACTAAATGATTTCATATGTAGGAAAAGTCATATATAGATGATAGATGGTCAGAAAATAAAGAAAAGACAGGTTATATTATCTTGCAGTTGGAGGATGGAATTTAAGGCTTATGACTTATGAGTAATAGCCAGGCTTTCTGCAAAATGTGACCAGTCCTTGCGGTGTAGTTTCGAATAAGACCTTTCTTCATTGTCAAGTTGTGCCTATAAAAGTTGATGGCTGCAATGGCGCGCACACACACATACATGTGTGTGTGTGAGAGAGAGAGAGTTGAATATGGAGGGAATTCTCGAACGTACTACGATCATTTTGATGAATATAATTGGTATACGCCATAGAGTTTTACTAAACTTCACCAGGTGATTTGAACATGTGCATACCTGGTGCTGTACCTTGTGTAACCCAAGGTATTTTTTGTGAAGTCATACAACTTATGAGTACGAAAACAATATCTGAGGTGAAGACTGGAGAGAGAGAGAGAGAGAGAGAGACACTGGCTTGGGAAAAAAGAAAGGGTGGGTGGGTGGTGTCAGAACCAGGATTCTGCCCATTTTCTGGGATGAGCAGTTCCCTGGTTTTGATTGCCCTAGTTTTACATGTAACTTGGACTGCCTGGTCTGGTCAGAGTTTAAAACTACCATGGGCCATTGCTTTGAAAAACTTAGCCCATGTCTCTCATTCTTTCAAAACTATTTTTTCTACTTACTAATTTTCAGCCACATATTCATACAGCCCCTGTTTGGTACACATTAAAATTTTCATTTTCATTCTTCCATTCATTTTCAACCACACATTCCTCAATAAAATAATATTTTCCATCACATCAATAATTTTTCCTTCTTTTTCAACCACACATTTTTCATCAATATACTATTCTAGAATACATCCTTCCAAAATAATGTGGTTCAAACACACCCACAATAGAATATTTTCCACGTAAACTCAAAATTTTTCTTACTTTTTAACCACACATTCTCCAAAATTCACTATTCAAAACAATGTTTTTCCAAAACAAATGGCTACCAAACAGGGGCTTAATTTGTTTCCTCTTTTGCAATTTGATATATTTAAGTATGTGTTAAGGCCAAAAGTATCTCAAACCGAATATATTGACAGCAAAAGATCAGCTTTAGTTGCAAGATTGGTTACATGTATACCAATATACCATTTTGTGAAGTTAATTCCTTGTTGGCAGTTATTAATTTTCAGATCTATGTATGCACTTTATAATAACTTGCTTCTTCCGCAGTCCGAAGCATAGAGATTGTGTTGGGTGGCAACCAACTTCTCTAGCTTTTATAATAGAAATAAGAGACTAAACATGGTACTGTTACCGTGTTCTTGAACTCTTGATTTTGTTTAGTATTTGTATTGTTTGACCATAAGGAAATGTTTTAGCCTCCGTTTGGGAAGAATTTATAGAAGGTGTAATATATAAATAGATAGAAATAAGTTGTGGATAAGTGGACATTAATTGTGAGTCCATTCAAATGTCTTGTTAAAAATGAAGTTTGACCAATTTATAAATGAATTAAAAATTAGCCAAAAGGAGGCTTAATTAGCTATTTTATCAATATAAAAATGCAAGGGCTTCAATGTCCAATAACTTTGTTGTTATCTAATCTCAAATAAGTACGTATAATGACCCGAACTTGGTTAATCCTAATTCCGAAATAAAATTATTCATAATTATGTTCACATTATATGGACCGCTCATGAAATATTTTCCACGGTGTTATGGAAACTTTTGATGTAGAGGCTGCAGGTTTTGTCTCCTTATTTAATGGGAAGCAAGAAACTTTTTCTCTCGTCTGTAAGCATTATATTTTCTCTTACTTCACCTTGCTTGTATTGAATGCAATTCTTTAATTGCCCTATTAATTTGAGAAATTTTGGACCAATGTCTGACAATGGAGCAACTTTTTAACAAACATTCTGAGGTCGTCCTGGGTGGTAAACATTCTACTGTTTTATGTTTTCTATTTCCACTTGATAAAATTTCTACAATCTTCTGATACCTGTCATGTGGCCTTTTCAGTCTTTATGCCGGGGTGGTGGTAGAAGGCCATTCAGAGGTCGTCGTGGGCGGGGAAATTTAAGCATGCGTGGAAAGGCTCGTAACTGGGGCATGGGTGGACCAACACCCATCCAATTGCATGAATCATCATCTTCTTCTCATCCAGAAACTTCTACTGCTGAAATGGCAGGTTCTACTGTAGAGAAGGCAGAAAATAATAATAAAGAAGCAGAAGGTGGGTTGCTGGCGCAGACAACTAAAATAACACAAGATAATGCAGCTCTTAATCGGCGGCCAACTCAATTTGCATGGTGTGAAGTATGCAGGGTCGAATGCACTAGTTTGGAAATCCTTGTGCAACACAAAAATGGAAAGCGACATAAAAAGAATTTGCAAAGATTAGAAGAGTCGAGACATGCTAACAAATCTGCTAAAATTCTGGATAAGCAGACACCTACAGGAGTTTTTAATCCTGAAGTGACTTTGAAATCTGATAATTTACTGGAAGGTGAAGAAAATAAGCAAATCCCGTCCAAATATTTGCCAACTGAAGCAGTTCCCAGTGGAAGTAGGGTGGAATCTGAACAGAAAAATGATCAAGCGGATCGTCCTGATATTCCCATAGAGCCACAATCTTATATGCCAGAAAATAACCCTCATTTGATTCAAGCTTTCAATCTGAGACATGTTTGGAACCGTAATATGCAAGGTGATCGTGGAGGGAAGCGTATGAAAACTTCTGATACACTGAGGCAACCTCCGAAACTCAAAGTTGTAATTCCCTTGATATGTGACTTGTGCAACGTAAAGTGTGATACACGGGAGGTCTTTGATCGTCATCTTTCTGGTAAAAAGCACATTTCTAAGCTCAAACGCTATGAAGGTCACCAAGCAATGTACGGACCACAAGGACTTCAAGCTCTGTACCCTCAAAATCCCATCACACAAACATTATATGCTCGACCAGGTCCTCAAGTCCTTCATGCTTTGCAGGGTTCAAATGTTCCACCCGGACTTCCTATGCCTTCACAAGCTCACTATGCTGCACCTACAGCAATGGATACTCGACTTCAGCAAAATCCCAACCTTCCAATGTCTAATGCTACTTCACAGCAGTGATTCCCAATCAAACAATAACTGAACAAGTTGCAATTGTAGAGATATATGCCGGTATTGATTACTTGGAACCTGAATCCTCCCGTGGTCATAAAGTTTACAAGGGATCAGCTAATTACCTTAGGCACATGTGGTGCTTGTATATGCTCTAGTTATGAAGCCATCTTCCCTTTATTTTAGGGTACCATTTTTATCGTTTTATCTTTCCGAGACATGAATATTGGACGGTCTGGCTAGTTAGGCACTTGTTGTAGTTGAATGTAGTTTTGTCTTTTGACTGGTTAGAAACTGCTTCTCACTAGCATTTTGGTCGTCCTCATTCCTAACGCTTTTTTTTTGGGTAGTTGTTTAGAGTATATTTCTAACTTAGTCTGTTTTAACTCTTTGATTATCGACCAAAAGTTCAGTTAACCTAACACACTGCAGTTGCAGCTCATGTTCAGTGAGGAATTTGCTCTCATCTGAATGGATTCTTCGGTTTGTGAAATGTGACATACTGCCATCCTATGAACCTGATAGGATCCCCTAGTACCGATGTTGTTGAAGGTTCAGGACTGATGCTGTTGTTCGAGCTTCCTGCTTCAAGTTAGCTGCTGTGATAGTAGAATTGGATGTATTAGTGAAGGGTGCATGTGTGTAGTATGTATAGATTGGTGCAGAATTTGTAAAGCAGAGAACAAAGTGTAATTGAATGCTTTATTGATGTTTAACAGAATGTAAATGAACAGAACGATTCCAGCTTTCGAGAGGCTGGATCTCTCCCAATTGGATCTACCAATTTACTCAATATTTTGCATGCCTATTTTGCTCACCCTCCTATTACATTTATACTAATATTCCCTCCCTTTTATTTCCCAAACTACTCCTAATAACTAATTGAATTGGAACGCTCTAGAATAGGACTTAACTAGTATGAATGGATAACTTGGGGCCTATCATTACTCGTCGCCTCGAAATCCACCTTGTCTTCAAGGTGGAAGATTATGAGTTCCTCGTACAACAATACAATTTCCTTTGCAAATACTCAAAGTGGAAGAGGGGTGTTTTCCCCCTTTGCAGTGGACAGACTTATTTAATTGAGCGAGTATCATAAGTATAGTATCCAAGGCAACTCTATAGCCTGTTGCCCCTCTCCACAAATTGTCCACTTTTTGAACTTGACTTGTCGAAATCAGCGTGTAACTAACCGTGCCTCCATTCTTCCCTTTCCATTGGAGCTCAACACCTGTAAACTTTTTAAACATTGACACCCCCTTGTTCGCTGTTGCCAACCAGAGCACTGTGATGGCAGTTGATCTAGGAATGCTTGCGACTTCATTGGAAAAATGGAATGGACTAAAATAGGTATGGAAAGTTGGGTTGTGTTTATTAATTTTGTTCATATATGGACCGTGAGATAAGGGGGCCCATTTCTTGGAGTCAATGATGTCCTCTACCATCTGGGCCCATTTAATGATATGGCCCAGCCCATAATGCCCAAGTATCCTTTCTTCATCCCAGATTACACAGCCACCTCCATTAACTTTCACCCCTTGGACCAATTTCAGTCGGTTGATGAAATTTCCTTTTATCACTGCCTCAGGGAACACAGGAGCAGCCAAAACTTAGGAATTTCTCCTGTACTCCTCAACTGCATCTTCCTGCTTCACCGTTAAAAAGTTCTCCATAATTCAGCTTTCTCGAAATATCCACTCGTCAGGATCCCCTCCATTGAAAATAAGTACTCCAACTTACCATCTCGATTTTCAGCTCTCCCCAGTTCCTCATGGCAACCCCTTCCTTTTAGCTCAACTCCAATTTCATCCAATTTTGTCGAAATTTCAAGGGTAGAGGTGGGTTCGAGTGCAGAGGCTGCCAACGGTTTATCCTTCCTGCGATGGTAGTTTGTACGGCTCCAATTTTGGGGAAGAAATTTGGGGATGTAAAGTGGTTGTGGCTATAACATTATTGGAAGGGAAAAGTATGATGGGCTTGGTTTGGTGTTAATAGGGGTTTACCTTTTAATGGGCTAGGTTTACTTCTATTTGGGCTGAAATTTAGTTGGGCCTGTTGCACTATCTCATGTTGCTCATCAACTTTTTGTGCCAACTCTAAATCAGAGCCCAAACCCACTAACTCCCCCATATTCTCTACTTTTATCTTTTCTACCTGTAGCCCATTAACAAATTCTTCCAAACCTACCACCACTGCACGTGATGATGAAACAGATGTCACAGTTGGCGTGGGGAAACTCTCGATCGTCTTCCAATCTTCGTTGCTTATTCCGAGATCAAAAAGTTTTGGGCCTGCAAGCTCCGCTTTCCCAGGTTTAACTCGGTGGTTCGAGCCACCGTTACATGCGCCAACTTTCTCTAGCTTGTGTGGAGTTTCACGAATGGTAAAATTCCCCTCCAACACTCCATCTGAAGTCGTCGGTAATGGTGCTGATACAATTTCAAATCTATCCAGTTTATGGCTTTCAGAAATCGCCCCAATTTTATCTGATTCCAGCCCATTTTCAGAATTGAAGATAGTTTCAGGCGATGCCGGTGCTGGACCTTTTTCCCACCGTTGCTCGTTGCACTTTTTCTAAAATGGAATAGAACTTCTCCATCACGTAAGACATCACCTTCTCCAGTTCTGATTTTAGATCTTCATGTACCTCTAGCTGATGTCCCTCCTGAGATGGTCGAAATCTGTCGATCATCAAGCCTTTCAATTCTCTCCAAGTTAGCACTGTCTTTTGTCGATCGACCTCTCGAAACCAATCCTAAGCTTTCCCCAACCAACATGCCGTAGCTGCTTCTATTTTTTCCCTCTCTAACAATTGGTTCCTTGCTAAAATTTCATCTATTTTCTCCAACTACCAATCTGGATCGCCATCATAGAATATTTCTATATCTAATCTACCTACCGAATTCAATCTGTAACCCCTTGCCATTGCCCTAAGATCAATGCTCTGATACCAATTTGATAGGATCCTCTAGTACCGATGCTGTTGAAGGTTCAGGACTGATGATGTTGTTTGAGCTTCCTGCTTCAAGTTAGCTACCGTGATAGTAGAATTGGATGTATTAGTGAAGGATGCATGTGTGTAGTATGTATAGATTGGTGCAGAATTTGTAAGGCAGAAAACAACATGTAATTGAATGCTTTATTGATGTTTAACAGAATGTAAATGAACAGAACGATTCTAGCTTTCGAGAGGCTGGATCTCTCCCAATTGGATCTACCAATTTACTCAATATTTTGCATGCCTATTTTGCTCACCCTCCTATTACATTTATACTAATATTCCTCCCCCCCCCCCTTTATTTCCCAAACTACCCCTAATAACTAACTAATACCCTCCTATTACATTTATACTAATATTCTCCCAATTTATTCCCCATACTGCCCCTAATAACCAACTGAATTGGAACACTCTAGAATAGGACTTAACAAGCATGAATGGATAACTTAAGGCCTATCAAAACCCTCTGTTTACTTGGATTAATCTATGTGTACATAGGTGTGTACATAATGTAAGTGGAGTGGAGTCTCCGATACAGTTAACCGAGTTAACCTAACATACTGCAGTTGCAGCTCATGTTCAGTCAGGAATTTGCTCTCATCTAAATGGATTCTTCAGTTTATGAAATGTGACATACTGCCATCCTATGAACCCTCTATTTACTTGGATTAATCTATGTGTACATAATGTGAGTGAGGTGGAGTCCACGATACTGTAGCATGGGCCCTACTCCATTTACATTATGTCAACTCCTATGTACACATAACATAGCATTTTTACTTTCTCATCAAATGTTTGAGGATTATGTTATATGTATCAAATTTTTTTTACCAAATCTTTTACATACTATTCACAATGAGGATGAGGACTACATTATCGAAATTTTTAAATACATGCGTGCCCCGCGCATTATGTGAAAGGGGACAATCCATTATGTACAAATTATTATGTACAAATTGATTAACCTAATGTTTGTTTGTTTGAATCGCTTTGGAATATCGTTTAAAAGGTTGTCAATTGAAGCGTACGAGGTTGACTTTTCAAAGGAAAAACTTTGACATATTTATAACGGATGGAAAAACTTCTCGGGTGTATTTGTTTGCATATTTTTTGTTGAAAGCACTTGTGCTATTTTGTTATTTATTTATCACCTGACTTTTTTTACTTTTTATATGTGCATATTTTATATTTGACAATTACTCGTTAATTAGTTTTTTTAAACAATTTATTTCAATTGTTTGGTGACAAATAATTGTCTAGAATTTTGTGACGTAATGCATAAAATTTGACATTTGTTCGTTTATTATATTGAAGAAGGCAATCCTTTTCAAAAAATATATTTTTAACAATAACCAGATATTTTCCGAATTAATATTTGATAACTACTAAAAGATGTTTATTAAAAAATAAAAGTTGCTTTATGTAAATTTACTTATTAGTGAAAAAATAAGTTTTTAAATATATAATATTATATTTTTAAGATGTTAAAGATAAGTAAATTCTTTTTTGAAATGCGACTATAAGTTAATAGTTATTTTTGGAAAAAAATTAAGTTATCTAAATATATTTAAGAATTAAAAATTACTTAAAACTCCTTTTACTTTCTCTCAGAAGTTATCTAAACGTGTTTGGACAATAACTCTTATAATGGTTATATGACAACCATATTTTTCTTTTGGAGTTATGCTACATGTACATAATTTTTTTATATAATTTTTTATACCCCACTCACATTAGGAGGTGGAGATCACGAGCAGCCATGTTTAAACACACACGGGCCCCGCACACAATGTGAGGGGGGTACACCATTCGGTACCCCCCAAACGGTACGATATTAGGAGGTGGGGATCACGAGCCGCCATTTTTAAACACACACGGGCCCTGCACACATTGTGAGGGGGTACACCATTCGGTACCCCCCATTCGGCACATCCAACATTTTCCTTTCTTTTGATGTGCTACTTTTCAATTTACTAAGTTCTAATGGGCATTTTGGACGAAAATTGTTGAG